ATAAATTTGATCCTTCATTTAGAGTGCGCACATGGGAACAGACCATATTAGGTAAGCTTCCGGTTACCATATTAGGTTAGCTTCCTTCCGGCTAGCTTCCGGTTACCATATTAGGTCAGCTTCCCTCCGGTTAGCTTCCGGTTACCATATTCGGTTAGCTTCCTTTCGGTTAGCTTCCGGTTACCATATTAGGTTAGCTTCCTTCCGATTAGCTTCCGGTTACCATATTAGGTTAGATTCCTTCCGGTTAGCTTCCGATTACCATATTAGGTTAGCTTCCGGTTACCATATTAGGCTAGCTTCCTTCTGGTTTAGTCATTTTGTTTTACTTTTAACAATTCGAGAGCTTCTTGTATTTGAAAATTGGCTAAAGTGATGAATGTCACGTTTTAGGTAAAGCTTATCAAGAAAAGAGAATCGATAAGAGAGAGAGAAGACAGCCTCAGGTCATCCCTGATCTGCCTTATCTTAACTGGGAGAAAACCGGCCAGGCACCTGCAGGCCCTTATGCGGTATGTAGTCCTCTTTGTTAGCACAGAAGCTGGTACTTACAAAAACAGCTTTTTTAATACCTGGTAGACTAAGCGAGAAGAGAAAGAACCTTTGCTTTCGATTGTGGGCGACGACTGTCACGCTGCTACTAGTACTAAAAAATAAGAAACGCATTTAGGATGAAGCAGTTGTTCGTCCACCCAGGTTAGGCTGCAGCACATGTATCTTTTATCAGGCGAGCACGCCTCACTGTTTTCTTTGTTTACTCTCCTTGTTTGATTTTGTAGAAGACGTTTTAGGAAGAGTCAAACCTGTGATCAGTGGTTAGATCTTTTGGATGAAAAAACGTCTCGCCCTTCCTAGGCCTTTTCTGAATGTCCTTTTTGCACTGATTCATAGTTCGGTGCCCTCGTTTTTTACGCAACTTCTTCCCCGTCTTCACCTGGAAAATACCCCCAGTGCTGGCAATATCGTTAGCAGAAGCCTGGAGCTAACCCTATCCACAAAGAAAACAATACTCTTTTCAACTCAGCACTATTTAAAGACAGAAGAAGCCGAAACAATAAAAAAAGGAAGTATCCTTTTGCGACGTGTCTTTGTTTGTTGTTTAGTCTCTGGATACCACAGACCTGCAGGAAGTTGGCGGCATTCAAAAGCCGGATTTTATAGCCCATCCTGAGCGGTACTTCTCGGAGAGTTCAGCCGGCAAGAGAAGAAGTAAAGGAGTGCTGCCATCTTTACCCAATGTTACAGAGAGTAAGTCTCATTTGTAGCCTTTGTAATTACCAGATACATTGCACCCTGCAAGCAGAACCTCTATCTTGCATTAATCGAGCATGCGCAGCCTGTTGCTAGGATACAGTTTCAAACCCAGGCCTAATAGCCGCGTGCTTTGTATAGCGGGCTCAGCTGGAACCGACGGTTTTATCATTAGACGGATGCTTGCACTCGAAAAACCAGTTTGACGAGAAAAAAAACACGATTGACTAGTCCAGAAGTTCGGGCTGCAACGACTTTAAAGGCTTGAAGCGATTTAGGCAGAGCTTCCTTTTCTCCTCCTCGATCAAGAAAAAGACGAAAGGAGACTGTGCTTGAATGGTGGATACATGGTTGATGATAATTTTGAAATATGCCAAAACGGTGACTCAAGATGTATTTATTTTTATTGAATTATTTGACTAAATGTTCTGTTTTTAAACATTGGATGCTTTGTATTCCATAGATCTTCAAATGCGCTACGACGAGAAGAGCCTTTTCCCTAAATACATCCTGGAAATGGAAGCGAAAATGAAGGCGGCGCACGCGTTGGGCATCCGTACGTCTCGTGGCGCACGTGCTCGCGGTGACTCGTCACAGACTAAGCCACGTGCTTCACACGAAGGGACTCAGCTCAATAACAAGAGAGTAGCAACCTGGAGAGTTCTCTTGACTAGCAAGGGAAAAGACCCGTGATAGTAATAGAAGTCTGGATAAGAAAAAACGCTGACCAGTAACAGGACGAACAGCACAATAGCAGCTCGGGGTCACGTGATTTGTCTCGTGCCAAAATTCTGGAAAAAAAAAATAACAATACCACAGATTTAAAAAGCATGAAATTAGTACTGAGCCCTCCCCGTTTTAGGTTCTAAACTATCGAAGCTGCGATTTAATTGTGGTTTGACTAACAAAGGAAATCCTATAAACCACAGCCAAAAGACGTCATGTATTTATTAGTCAGAGTAGGTCGTGAAATGATTTCCTCTTTAAACGACGCACATTTTAATTTATTTATTATTGGTGACATACAGCAACGCAGCGCGCTTAGCTACTTGTCATATTTCTTCAGCATCTGCTGTATAACACACACCCTTTGTGGTATTCCAGACTTCATACATATATCTGTAAAGAAAGAAAACATCTATCTCCACAGCTGTCCTGTTATCTGAAAATGTTTATAACGTTTTTGTACATAGAGCGTTCCTGGAAAAAATATATATATATATATAAAGATAATAACAAACAAAAACCAACAAACAAACAAAGAGTGAAAAGAGTAAATACCAGTATTCAGTTGTCATTTTCCCTATGATATATATTAAACTGTTATTATATATTTGAAAATTTTAAGCTTACGGTTACTTCTGAACATGCATGTTGAGACATACGAAACGTTAAGTCAGTGAATGAAATTCTATTTTAGCTATGCGCTTGTTCATCTTTAGCTTCATGTTTTTCACCACAGTTTGCGTTTTATTTCTAATCAAGCTTCGTTGGCCTAAGACGAAAAGCATTTATAATTTCAATTAAGTTTGTCTCGTGATGTTTTGACCGCGTACTGCTTGCTCTTCATATCAGGCGATGGTGTCAATTTACTGAGTGGGACTATTAGTAACAACGTGGTTGCTAGGGGATTGGTAACATGGTTGGTAGGTTTCGATCCGAAGCATGGTTGCCACTACCCAGGGTACCAGAGGTTTTTTCTCGCTTGCGTCGGGGAGCTTCGTTTTGTCGGCTGCAGGCCGCGACACGTGTTCGGCCGAAGGCCCAAGACACTTGACTGAAACCGGAAACCGCGCATGAAAAGCCTCTGGCACCCAGGGTAGGTTGCCATTGTCAGAGGAAGAAACTCTTTCCTCAGAGGTCCGCTATGGTACCTATCGGCTGCTATGCTATCTGATGGTAGGTATCCGCGGTTCTGGAATCTCAATTCAAATGTCCCTGTTGATGTGGTTCGGGTGAAGTCTCATGTGAATAGCCTCTTTAATCCTACGTGAGTACCAGTGAGGGTCTCGGTCAACCTTGTCCCAAAGCGGATGATGCCCGGTCTTATTGGCGTGTTCCTTTGTAAGCAAAAGTTACTCGTTTGTAGAAAACGTCACGGAATTCAAGAAACAGTCATCTAATATAAGAACCCACTACCGAAATTAAATGTGCGCCAATGCTCACATACATCAAAGGATGAGGTGGATGATTACTAATCCATTTATGCCATATTGGCGAGTCCCCATAAAGGTTCTTTGATCCCGCAATGGGACAATTGCACGATGACGTCATTTGACTACAACTACCAAAATCCTTCAGTTCGTTTACGGCTGAAGTTAGAACATAGGCAGGCCTCTTTAGGATAATTTTACCGTTGGGAGGTGAAGTACAATGTTGATACACACCTGGATTTTTTGGTAAAATCTCTTATCTTTTTAAATCTTCAGGGAGGCAAGGTAGCTTTAAGAGTAACTTCCGTTACTAAATGTGTTACCATCTCGTGACCGTATCGTCTCATTATCTCTTTCGAAAAACATGCCAATATTACTACCCTATATCTATTTGACATACTTACCATGAATTTTCTTTCCGAAATTGAGGATACGGTTCCGTAAATTAGACAAAAACTGGTGAACATTTAGGAAACCAAATTTCAGCGTGCACTTAGTCACAGTGAAACCGGAAAAGAATAGATCTGTCAGTTTTATTTGCATTATCTTTCAATGACATAGGCTAATAGAAGTTGAACAATTAAAAAAATTATGGGGGGGTGGGGGGCTGGGCATTTTTGGGTGGGAGGCGATTTCTTTTTTTT